CATACCCCCCCACATACATACATATATACATATATACATACATACATACATACATACACGGAATTTAAAATCAAACTGAAATTTTTTTTAATTTGTGGAAGCTCTTTAAAGACACAAGGTTCTTGTAAAGAAGAAAGTAAATGCTATCATTCAGTAAAGCATTATGAACCTGTCATGTACCCAGAAAGTTAAAATAAGGAAACCTGGGTCACACTTACTAAATCATAACTTCAAGAAATAATCTGATGGGCATGGTGGCACATGCATTTAATTTCAGCACTCAGAAGGCAGGGACAGGTAGATCTCTGTGAGACCAAGGCTAACCTGGTCTACATAGCAAGTTCCAGGCCAGCTATTGCTATAGGGAGACCTTTCTGAAAAAAAAGTCTAACAGACTAGTAAAACACTCCAAAGAAATCTTAAATTTCTTTGAGTTTTCTTGTCAATTTTGGTCCCATTTCCATAACATAATTATCCCAATTTTACTTAAGTAGTGGTAGATGCAGAGTGCAAACAAATACTACCCATACAATCCACTTTTATTATTTTTAAGAATATTTAATGTGCATGAGTGTATTGGCTGCATGTATGCATATGCACTGTCATGCAATGCCTGCGGAGGTCAGAAGAGGGCGTTGGAACCCCTGAAATTGGAGTTAGGGACGATTGCTAGTTGCCATATGGGTGCTGGGAACTGAATCCAGATCCTCCGCAAGAGCAGCCAGTGCTCTTAACCACTGAGCTATCTCTCCAGCTCCGCAATCCAGTTTTATAGATTAAGAGAATATCGCTGGTGAAATCTAACAGTTCAATTTAAGAGCTGTTTATTACCCATACATTGGCTTTTTAAAAGAAATAGTATTCAATTAGTCATTAAAATTTATTCTTTTCATCCTTTTTGCACCGTGTGTGCATGTGTGCCTGTGTGCTTTTTTCAGTGTGTAATGAGTGGTAATTAACCCCAAATAGCTCTGGTGTATATTAGTGTTAAAGAACTCTCTCTCTCTTTCTCCCTCCCTCCCTCCCTCCCTCTCTCTCTCTCTCTCCCTCCTTCTCTCCCTTCCTCCCTCCCTCTGTCTCTGTCTCTGTCTCTCTCTGTCTCTGTGTCTCTCTGTCTCATGTGTATGTTTGTGTGTGTATAAGATATTTATTTTCAAAAGCCTTAATTTATCTGGGACTCAAATAAATGCTAGGAGACAATGTATCACCTCTAATGAAATGCTTTTTACTGTTCTTAAAAAAGCAAGTGTGATAGTGAGATGAATAAATAATAGCTAAGCACTAGGCATGCGAGGTAACACATCCAGTACCTGCTATCCTGGTCAGACCCACAAGAACACAGTTGTTTAGGCTCAACTGAAAGATGTGTTAGAGCAGTAAAACTGAACAAATGATTTAGAAATAGGATGAACAATGTCAATGTTCTTGACCAAAAAGAGATTTTAAAAAACAATGGGTCTAAGGCAGGTGTGCGGGTGCATACCTTTAATCTCAGCACTCAGGAGGCAGAGGCAGGTGGGTCTCTGTGAAAGAAAGGCCAGCCTGGTCTACATAGGGAGTTCCAGGCCAGCTGGAGCTACAGGGAGACCCTGTCTCAAAAAGACCAAACAAATAATAAATAAATAAATAAATAAATAAATAAATAAATAAATAAATAAA